GAAACAACATACAGAACTACCACATATTGCTATAAGTTTGATTGCATCATATAATAATTGCTGTTAATAGTGCTCATCGTTTGTTTTATTACGTCTTAAATTGATTTTTCCGTACATTTCTGCCATATGTACATTAACTGACAGTCACCACTGATAAACTACCACTAAATATTGTAGAAACTTAATTGGCTGTAAAGTTGCTTTGCAATGATTTGTATGGTGAACAGCGCTGTACAAATAAACTTGACTTGACTATTTAGCGCCCAAACTCTGGAATAACCTACCTAACATTGTTCGGGAGGCAGACACACTCTTGCAGTTTAAATCTAGATTAAAGACCCATCTCTTTAACCTGGCTTACACATAACACACTAATACGCTTCTAATATTCAAATCTGTTAAAGGATTTTTAGGCTGCATTAATTAGGTCAGCCGGAACCGGAAACACTTCTCATAACACCCGATGTACTTGATCCAGTACGTATTCAGACCAGATGGTGGATCAGCACCTAGGAAGGACCTCCACAGTCCTGAAAGACAGCGGAGACCAGGACAACTAGATGAGCCCCAGATACAGATCCCCTGTAAAGACCTTGTCTCAGACGACCACCGGGACAAGACCACAGGACCAGATGAGCCCTCTGCACAATGTGACATTGCTGCAGCCTGGAATTGAACTGCTGGTTTCGTCTGGTCAGAGGAGAACTGGCCCCCCGACTGAGCCTGGTTTCTCCCAAGGTTTTTTCTCCATTCTGTCACCGATGGAGTTTTGGTTCCTTGCCGCCTCAGGCTTGCTTAGTTGGGGACACTTCATTTCCAGCGATATCGTTGACTTGATTGCAAATGATTGCAAAGATACTATTTAAACTGAACTGAGCTGGATGATGACATCACTGAATTGAATGATGAACTGTCTTTAACTGAAAAATTAGTGTTTACTATTGTCATTTTGCATTATTGACACACTATTTTCCTAATTAATGCTGTTCAGTTGCTTTGACACAATCTGTATTGTTAAAAGCGCTATATAAATAAAGGTGACTTGACTTGACATGCATTCTCATTTCCCAACATGAATAATGTTCTTTGCTTCAGGTTCTGATGCAAGTGATCTGGACATAATGTACATCTTTCTATAACACATAACTCTAGAACAAGAGGTAAGAAATGTCTCACAAAAGCACAAAATAATTTTACACCACAATAAAAACATTTCTAAATAGGCAAGTAATCCAGTAACGCCTAACTGGTGGTGGTACATAACACAAAAGCCATGTGTATTAGTCCAGTAAAAATCAGGAATATCTCACCGAGACAGACAGAGAACTTAGCACTTATGTGTGGCATAGCTGCGCTGAGTTTTAAAGAGAGAGCTCTTTGCTCCGCTCTGCTCGGAGGAGCCGCAGAAGGTTATGAAAGATTGCAAAGCAAAGTGACGTCTCCCAGTTTATCCTCCCTGAAAGCCTTCGTGTCCTCTCAGTTCCAGATGAGCGATCTGATGAGAGCCATTTGTCAGGCCCTCCTCTTAATTATCAGCCGGCTCAGAAAGGCATCTTGCAACAGCCACTGACAATGGCACTTTGGGCCTTATTCAGCACTGCCTCAAAACTGCTGTCAGACAGAGACACAGGGAAAAATAAAAAAGAAAGAAACAGTGTTTGTCTAAGAGTGGAGTGAAAGCTACTCGGCATACTGAGTTCAAAACACTTGTGCATTACTTCTTGTCTACCATATAAGCGGAAGATACAGCTGTCGCCTTTCCGTGCCACACGGATTGGTGGGAAGAGAAAAATCATGTAAATGTTATAATTTAGGTCCATGCCAACAGATAAAACACAGGGTTAAGGAGCTGCGTGGGAGATGTCCCTTTATAATCAGGGCTACGAGGAAGAAAACGAGAAGACAGTTGTGCAGAGAGCAGATGATATTAATGCTGGGGGGGGGGTTAAGCAAACTGCAAGTGGTTAGTGAGCAGTCTGTCCAATTTGTGGTATGTTAAGGGTTGTTTACTACCTTTTTAAATAAAGAGACACTATATTATTTTATACATAGCCTAGTAAGTAAACAACATATTCCTCTCTTCATAAGGACTTATGTAATTTAAAATATCTCCTGAAGGTCTGTCATACACTTTTTACAGTTTACAATAGGCAAAGAACTATCAAAAACCATCTCTTTCTACAAACACAACTCTGCACGAAAACTTTAGGTTTTTCTCTTGTTAAAACGTTAAAACAAACAGACACTCATAAATCATGTGAGTGAAATCAGGGTAATGGGTGAAAATCTAGATGTGACAAAAGGTTTTTTTGGTTAAATATTTTACGAATCTCCCCTGATGGAAGAACATTAAGGCATTTAAATGACCTTACATGTAGTACTTACAATAGAAATAATACATTCAGAAAGACTTTACCTTCATTTCATTACAAAAACCATTAAATTAACTAGTTCCAGTCAAGACATCATTAAACAAATTCTTTAAATTCCAATGTCAACAGACTAATTTAGGTTTGTGTCCATGCTGTGATGTTACATTTGGAGAATCAGCAACTGTTTATGTATGTGGACTATGAGGATTTATATCTAGCTGGCAGTAGGAACCACCGGGAAATTCATAATAGAACATTATCATAATACTAGTGTCAAGATGCAAGAGTTTCTTAGGCGCCGACAGAAAGAATTACAATCTGATTTTTTAAGTATCTTTTGGTATAACCCAAGATACTGTTTTTAAAAGTCATATGTTGATAATTTTAAGTATGTAAACTATTGGTTTTTGCTGAAATACATTAAAAATTCAAAATGCACTCTACATGAGTGATAAACATGGCACAAAGCTTGTAAGATTTTTGATTGTTTTTGAAAGGAGTCTCTTATACTCATCAAGGTTGCATTTATTTTACAAAAAAATAAACAGTAATTTTGTAAAATTATTAAAAATGTAAAAACTTTTGTTTTCAATTTTGATATATATTAAAATGTAATTTATTCCTGTGATGGCAAAGCTGAATTTTCACCATCATTACTCCAGTTTTCAGTGTCACATGATCATTCAAAAATGATTCTAATATGCTGATTTGGTGTTAAAGTACCATTTCTTATTATCAATGTTGAAAACATTTGTGCTGCTTAATAATCTGTAAAAACCGTGATATATATTTCTCAGAATATTTTGATAAATAGACAGTTTAAAAGAACAGCATTTGAAATACTAACCTTTTGTACCATTATAACAATCTTGTATTAGGCCTACATTATGAAAATCATTTTAAATGAATGTCACTATTGATCATTTTAATGCATTCCTTAATGCAAATCCTAACCCTTACTGACCCCAAACTTTTGAACTGTAGAGTACCTCTAATGTAAAAAAAAAAAAGAGAGGGAAACCATATACCAATTTCATATTGTGACAAATGTATTGCAATATCACACAGTATCTTTTATTTTATCTCCACTTCTAGTATGCTCCAAATATATATATATATATTAAAAAAATCAAATATTCACTGGTGCTTTAGATTTAACAGCTAACAAAATGGGAACAGGACTGAATATGTGAGGGTCACCAACAAACCCTGAGTTTGGAACGGCCACTGCGCACAAGTGGCGGATGAAGCGCAGAGAGAAGAGCGTCCTCAGCACCACTAGCAAACACAGCACTCATCCATCGCAGCTGGGAGAGCCGCCATTAATATTACAGGTGCTTAAAGCTCCATCCAGTCAATAACCACTACTACAGCCAATGGAGCTAATGAGGGGAGCAGAGGTGACAATCCAGTTCCCATATGCACAATGCAGCCCGATCTCTCAACACTACTGTAAGACAGGGGCTGTTATGTGAACACTTCATTGTGCTAGTGGCCTACAATCAGCACGAGCAGATCAACGGAACACAACTGTTCAAGTCAATGTCGACAATTAGGCTCTTTGAAAACATAATCGATCTGCTAGAGGCTTCAACAGTGGTGCCACGGCACTGCTCGCTTCCAGGAAAGGGCTAAAAAAAGCACTTCGGAGAGGCGGTTTTGGCAAACCCAAGGGAAACTCAGCATTAATCTACGACTGCGGAGTGACAACAATCCCTCACACAACAGAGGCAGTCAATCAATCAACCGAAACGCACAGCAGAAGCGGCGAAGAGGGTGCCGAGGGTGGACAGGGACCCGTCTTTTACACCTTTATCCATCTGAAGCTCGTACACCGGCTTTCCCTTCAGGCAACGCTCTCCTTTAAACTGCAGTTGAGAAGAGAGAATAGCAGATTCTTTGTGCTTTGACACAGAAGGGAGGGGGAAAAAATACCCAAGTTTCCCCAATTGTATTCAATTTAACACAGATCCAAAAGTCACAACCCCCCTATACAGTCCATTAGCAAAGTTAATGTAAAACTGTCAAGCACAACGACCCATAAATAATACATTGCTGAGGTCTGAAGAGGCCGGGTACCCTTCTGCTCACCGCCGTCCCTCTAGTCAGACACCCTCTACAAGGCCACATTAATTGTCTAATTCAGAGGCAATTAGTCGGCAGTGAGAGGTTGTGGCCTTGCAGCCAGCTGGCCCTGATAAGGAGGACAGAGGCTAGAGGGGCGGCAACCAGCAGTAGTAGCTCTGCCCGTCTCTCTGCCTGCTGACTAGACACTCCACTGCTACAGGCGGCCCACGTCACCTTGAAATGAAAGGCGACTGCCTACACAGCCTGGTTGTATAGCTCATCAAGACTTTTCAGGGCCATAAAAGTATTTGAACACTTAAAACGGATAAAGGATCGTATATTATTGCCATTACATCTACTCTTTTAGAATTTAAAACGGGTCTCTTTTTGAAATGTTTTACTTATAACATGTGCTTGTATTATTTTTAAGTGCCACTTCGTTTGATGTTTTGCAATCTATAATACAATTACAGTTCTTCAATATGAATGTGGTGGCCAAACATTTTTTGGGGTACTGTACATGCATTTTTCCAAAGTTTTCTTCAATAAATTAGAATGGAAGAAGTGTATTGAGAGTGCTGACACTGATGAATAGGCAATTGTCAGTGAGGAATTAATGTGTCATATCCATGGCTGCTATGACCTGCGATTATCCAGAGTGATGCAAAGATGCTGGAGTTTTGCCTGTCAATGGCTATGGGATGGGAAGACAGCGTTGATTTCTGGCATCTCATCCATCATTGGTTGTGCTCTACTGCTAGGAGGCACTGTCATTCACAAAGAGTGAATTCTGTAAGGACACGGCGCCTGTGGATACATAAATACTGTTGCGACAAACTAATGATGATACCAGGCATGTGAAGTGCATTTTCTAATCTCAAGATGATTGCAGAAATTGGGTTTCTGGCAAAAATTTTATAAATAATCCAAAATACACACATTGCTTTGAAGCAGAGATCTTGTAATTTCTGCCATTTCCTAGCGGGAATTTAAGTCAAAGGAGGGAGGAAAAAAAACAGGAACAGGATCAAAAAAGCCCAGTCTAACTCATTAGACCTCAAAGTCCTGGCCTCCCCAGCTACCATCACAGACAAACCAAAGTCACCCAAAACCCAGATAGTAAAAGCATGGAGCTCAATGACATTTTCGATGTGGGAGCTCTATGTGAAGTCCCTGGGCAGTGTGCCATATCCTCAGTGACACCACACACACGGTGCCACTCTGTCTGCAGCTCCTGCCTGCTAAAGCATTTCCATGTCAGATGGGCATAAAATGAGATGAAATATTTCTGCCATGGCACATTTCCTTTTGTTAAAACTCAGCATTGTACTGGTAATGCCTTGGCAGGCCTGCTTAATCTTTAAATTCGAGTCTTCAAAAAAAAGAATTGACAAGAAGGATCAGGTTTGCTAAAGAGTAAGCAAAGTAAATGGGCAGCTTATGGATAATTACTTCAAATCGCAAGTACTATTGTGTATGGCTGTGCAGCATCTGCCTTCGTTCTGGAAGAGGTGCTCCTCACGCAAATGTCTAGATCAGTTAAATCCGCTGTTACACTGGGTCTTCATGCTCAACCATTTAGCATCGCATCGGTAGCTGCTTCATATGTATCTTTAGTGTATCGTATCGTTGGCTATGCATCGAGATGCATATCTCAGTCATGGAGATGCACATCCCTAATATATAATATATATTAATTTATATTACATTGTGTGTTGATCATATTTAAATGTTTTTTAGAAGTTGTACAAAATTTATTTTTATACAGAAATGAAAAACATGCTCATCTTAGAAGAGGTCTATGCAATAAAATATAAAAATTTCAGCATTTCCAGAAAACAACATCAGATCTATATAAACTCCAGATTTACTTCAATTATAGACACAATATATTATTTCAAAACAATGACATGGAGTCCCAAAAGAGAGAAGAGGAGAATCACAAACAATTAATTAAAAATTATAGATGAAGAAAACCTTTTCAAAGTGAACTGCACAACCGTTTATGAAAATTTCAATTTCATTTTTTTCTTCTTTGTATAATGCCAGCGGCAGCGACAGACAGTCCAACTCCAGCTTAAGCAGATTTCAGAGAGTAGATTCGGAGTTAAAGGCGGATTCCAAGGACCAGACTCTATTTATAGCATGCGCAAATTCATCATGGCTCAGCGCCTCTCTCTTGGGGCCAAATCACAGCAGCGATGAGAGGCCATGTTCAGGTCATCCCAGCCTCAATTAATAAAGAGCCGGGCATCCTCGCCAGAATAAGGGAAGCTGCTGACTTGTTTAAAGGCTGGCATGATAACCGTGCTGAAGTTTTTTTGGGTTTTTTCCCCATTTATTTTGAAAAGTGGATTACGGAAAAAGCAAAAACAAGTATCTTAAGCTGAACAAGGCAATTATTTGCTGTGGGGGAGGAGCAAAAATGTATGTAGATAGAAACAAAAAAAGAAATTTAAAATGTAAGGTATGAGAGGAAGGGCATCCCCTTCTTCAGCTGTGACTATATTCAAAATAAAGCATGCCCTCGAATGTCTAATACAAAAATCACAATGTTAAGCACACAGCTTATTGGGCCAACATTTAGGTTTTTTGTTTTCTTTTATCACATTCAAAAACACATTCAGGTCAGTTTGGTTGAAGATTGTTTTTAACCCCAAAATGTCTGATGGAAAGGCAGCTGCTATTATACAAGCACTAAGAAATGCTAAAGAGGCCGACATTTCACACAGTTTACTCAGCATTAAATGTTCCATGTCAGGTATTGAATTTGTGTAACAGGCCTCATTATCACCGTAGATGGGGTTGAATCAATCAATGAAGGACAAATGACTGATGTTTAGTGGGGGAAGTATACACCTACATGCACAGTAGGGATGGGCTTCTTGTTGTCTGTAAGTTTACCCACAAGATATATCTTACAATATATATGTTTACTTTTATTCAGCAAGGATGTATTAAATTAACCAAAAATGACCAAAATTTATATTTCACATAAATGCTTCATGAAATTATTCATGAAATCCTGAAAATAGGTTTTCACAAATATATTAAGCAGCACAACTGTTTTCAACACTGATTATGATAAGAAAAGCTTCTGAGAACCAACTCAGATTTCTGAAGGATCATGTGACACTGAAGACTGGAGTAACAGTACTGAAAATTAAGCTTTGCAATCGCAGGAGTAAATTAAATACTAAAATATATTTTAAATTGCACAACTTCTTTCTGACGCCAAACAGTAATGTACACAGACTAGCAATCTCTCCCTTGAGTACCTAACTAGTTGGTTGACGTATCTGCTCAAAAGTAGTACTTCCCTTAAATAAAAACGAAAACAAAGAGTAGATCAAGACCGGTTACATGGCTACAGCAGTACTGGTTAACGTGATTCAAGATGTCAGTTTCTTCCAAAAGCACTTCCTAAGTCAACTCCATGCTTTGCGAGGTGTTGCGAGTGCCCTCTCTGCCAGCTCCACCTGGTGAGCCGCTATGCTTTCTGCCCACCTACTCTGTGTTGAGCGGCGGGGTACGAGTGGGATGGGGCAAGGTGAGGCTGGTGGGTGGGCGGCCAGGCGGGAGCTTCCTGACACGGGAGCCAGCCACACAGCAGGATCAAACTGGCTACGGCATGAATCACCACCATTCCCACCACCGACACAGCCACTTCTGTTGCTGCCACAATTAAAAACACAGAGAGGCTGCAAACTAAATACATGCAACAACACAGACCTAATAACTGCACACTAGATTTTCAAATCTGATGTACTGTAATCACATGTACGGTATATATATTTTTAGAAAAAGTTGGCAGAAAAAAACATACAAACAACTTTTATCTTAGCATTTTAATTAGGGATGCACGATATATCGGCCACCATATCGGTATCGGCCCATATCGGATTTAATATCAGGAGGACGTTTAAAAATGAAATGCCCGACCGCGTAATGATCCTGTCTGGAGGATTAAACTGAAAATCAGAGTGCACTGAAGCAATTTTACATCTTAATATTCCAAACCCTGCACACCAAGCCTGAGTCGAGAGATATGATGAGTGCAATACCTGTGCTTCCACATTTAAATAAAAGCAAGGGGAGCTGGGATTTGGGCCGTTGAGTTACTTAAGAGATAATGTTCCCGGCTCGCAAGTAAATAACGCCCTGGGGGGGTGAAGCAGTCCCCCAAATCACTTATTAGAAAAAAAAAAAAAAAAAAAGGTAAATCGCCCCTGGCTTCCATTATTATGTTGGGCTGCCCAGCAGCGGGTGCAACCTTTGATCTGTTTAGGTTGGTGAGCATTTGCATTTCATAATGAGATCAAAGAAGGTCCGGACACTCCACAAGTGCCAACAGCGTTTTTAAACAGGGCAAGACTCAAACTCGCCAAATGCATTTATCCATTAGAGCAGGCAGCTTTGGAGCATCAGTGGCTATGGCGTTTGTGAGGAATTAAGCATTTGCACACTTTTTTGCCTGCATGCAGGTGTGGAAACGCGAGAATATCATGCCGGTAGCGATGGAAGAGATTCAAGAACAAACATTTCAAGCATATTTAAACTGGTTAAGATGCGAGAACTGCTTGGGATTTTCGACGGCGCTTCAGACAAGCCATCTGAAGCACAATGAGATTCAGACTTTGGGTTCGAAAGCGGGTAGAGCAATGACCTGAAAAGTCAGCCGGCGTTCCCGAAGCACAGCTGGTAAATCATTAGGGAGCAATTAGGCGAGAAAATGCCAGAACCGCATTGTGAATTCTGAGGAGCAGCAGCCATGACAAAGCCATCATAAGCAGGCCGTGTTGTCACATCTCCTAGCGCCGCACGTTTTCTGAGTGCCTGATCAGATTACGGCCTGCTCTGTGGCCGGATTACAAACCTGTTGTGTAAACAGAGATTGAAAATTCTCGGGAGGATAACAAGAGCTTTCGCATGGCTTGGGTCCTCCATAATCCTCTAACATCCATACATTTAATGCTTTTAAAATGAGGTTTAGCCTGGTTGCACTCTGTTACAGCTTCTATATAAGTGCTCTAAGGTCAAACGGGATGAGGATGCTGGAACGCTCGGATCAGGTGGGTTGCGATGGCTTTCACTTCACCAGAAGCAGCTTTCAGTGTCAAATGCATAAACTCATATGGTGACGGGTGCTAAGCATCTTGACAGCATTAAACATCTCATCAGTGAAAAGTGGGTTTGACTGGGAACAGTGAGCCTCTCAACCCAATAGACGGCAAATTAATCTAATTTGCTCTTTTATTCTTTACACTGAGGTAGCTTGCATGCAGATAATTGGGATTATGAGAACCGGACAAAGACGAGTATATTACATAAGAGCTTTCAAAAGGGATGAAGTATTATTTCTTGTGGTGACAGTCAAAGCAATATCTTGAATCTGTGTTGTGGCTACATAATTGAACACCACCCTGCTGTTCTAAGGCAGTGATACTAGATTGCTTGATACAAATAATATACAAGAATTTGATCTTTAATTCAAATCACTGCGGGATTGTGATATAAACCTGCCTGCAGTAAAAATGTTGTGCTGAAAAAGTAGCTATATCGTATTAATTTTAGCATTCCAAAACATTCCTCAATGTTATAAGCTACAAAAAAACTCTATACTAACGATTTCAAAAGTACCAGTACTTTGGTCGATACAATATTGTTTGATGAATATAAAATTCAAACGGCCATTTACATGAAATTTAAATCTTTTGTAATATTAAAAATATCTTTGTCACTTTTGATTAATGTGATGTATTCTTGAGGAATAAAAATATTAATTTCTTAAATTTTTTTTATCTTAATGACCCCAACCTTTTAACCAGTAGTGTATAGGAATAGAAGTCCCACACACTGCGGTAGCTTATAAAAATCCAAAGAGTCCCCTTACAAAGCCAATGAGACAGTGAGAAAGCAAAAAAAAAAAAGTTATTTTAAAAGACAAATAATCTGTTCAATTTCACATCATGGGGAGTTATTTTATATAGACACATTTAAAAAAAACGCTAGTAAAAAAGATAATTTAAACCCCCTTAAGCGGTTAGTAAAATTCTGCATTAAACTATCCACTGTGGCTTGTGGGCAAAAAAAAAAAAGTTAATTTCTAACCCTGGTGACTACTCAACTCTAGAGTAACCGGTTTCATAATATTGCAGACAGAATGTGCTAAAATTCATCTCAAGCTGCATATCTTTCTCCCCTAATACGGTGTTAATATTTTTTGACCTTGATGAATGATCTATTCTTATTGACAGCACTTATTGATATTTCTTAAAAGCGTTGGCTAATGGAGTTCTATTGAGATGACTAAATGAGTTGCCGCCGCCTGGATTAGCCTAGTCTCATCTCTCCAGCACAGCTAGAATTATCATAGAGAACAGACGTGTGCGTGCACTGGGTCGTAAATTCCTGCTGCCGACATCTCAGGGGGGATGTGGAGAGATGGAGGGCGATGACTGCACACAGACCTACATTCACCCCAGCCACGCTCGGTATATGTGCAAACGCACAAATATAGCAGTGCGCACTTCAGAGACAAAGGATCTCTCTAAAATAATAGTCAACAGCGGTCAGAGTGAGATTCGCGTTCTCCGGTCTATTAAAAGAAACACTCGTATTGCTGTTATACAATTCTTAACACCAGCTCTGTTTTCCCATCAGTACACGCTCTTCTGCCTGTGAGATGTATTTGTGCTGCGATATCCTGAAAGCCATTTTCCACATCACATAGTAGGATCGCACAGCGCCTCGGTCTGTCTCACACTATGCATCTAAACACAAGCACTTTCACAAAGAGTGACCAGTGTGCCTTTGATTTCAGCTATATCTTCAACTTATATTTACGTAAATAAAAATAAGCAAAGGAACTGTGTCCAATTACCTAACTATTCAATACTCTGTTAAAACGAATGCTAACACACTACAGAATGCATATTTGGCCCTTTGTAAACACTGCTAGATCCTCAATATAATAGCTATAACAATACATGACATAGAGATGGAATGTGGCAATTAGTGGCCATCATTGAGAACAGCGGTGGGACGCCTCTTTCCATGAGGCTTTTGAAAAAAGGCTACATTCCAGCAAAATGGAAAGCCGTCTCTCGCTAAATGTGTCAGGGCAGCAACCTTGTACAGTGATTTCAGTGAATTTAGTGAAAAACGCAGAAATCCATTTGTTATGTCTGTCCACCGTGTAAAATGTTTGCAGAGGGGGGAGGGGAAAGGAAAAGAGAAAGGCTGATGTCACAAAAGGCTTTACAGGTGCTAGCAAGCAATTTAACTTACAGCCATCTTCCTAGGTACCACGGACGGAGTGTGAGCACGTTTCTAGCAAGAGAATAAAAAGGTTAGTTTTAAATGAGTAAAAGCACCACGTTGACTCTCAAACTCACCTCAGAAATCTGCAAATACAAATCTTTTCAGTGGAAATAGCGTTATGCTTCTGGAGGGAAGAAAACTTAAGGAAATAGGATTGATAAATATGCAATTGAAAGTCTCCTGCTCTGTAATCCACAGACAACAATGGGGTGGAAGTGTATGGAGCCACATGTTTGATTTGTTATTTTGATTATAGTTATCAAGTAAAACCTGCATCTGTAAACATTTTAAGGTGATTTTTAAAATGACAAAATCATGTGTTGCTCTCATATCTACAGTGCCATAAATATCCGAGCAAAAGAGGGTGGTGTTTGTGAAAATATGCTCACCAACAGATAGACGCATGGACGCACACACACACACACCCGCACACATGCAGGGGGACGCGTCTCGCACGGATATGAACCACGTACATCTTGTCTGCCTGCAATAAAGCTGTGCTACCGATTCTATTGCCAATAAATGTCAACTGATTGGAAAGCTCATTCTAATATCAATTTCCATCTCCGCTCTTTAAAAGGCAATCAGCACGGCTTCATCTCTGTATATCATATGCTCCTTGAGATGGTGACACAGCAATGGCTCTCTCCAACATAATGGACTTCTATCAAGGCATCTGGCATGAATAATACAAGCCATGAAAGGCACTTTTTTCCCTCTTCTATGGCTTGTGTGGCTGGATCTGGCTGGGTGAATATCAACACACTTCCTTCTCACACGTGTCTCCAAAAAGAGCCTTTATTTTCTTGTGTCTAGAGAGACAAGATACTGTGTCAAATATTAATGGTCATAAACACATCTGAATGGCGCTTTGCAAAATAGCAGCGTGGCTGTTGCTTTTATATTTTCGAAGCGCTCCTTGGTGAGGAAATGAAGAAAAAAAAAAGCCTTGACAGCATAAGAAATGAGAATAATTTCACACATTAACCTTGGCAGTCTCCTCTGACTAAATTCAGGGCTGATTCGGTACACTGATTAAATTTAAGGAGGGACGTCACTCGTGTGGCATGCAAATGTCTCTGACGGGCAGAAAGCAAATAATGACAAATTAACTGGCGCTTACAGTCAGCGCCTCGCCCCTTACCTTCCATCCGCTGCCGGCTTCCCTGTAATAGGGGAAATTGTCACAGATCCACTGGTAGATCTCGCTCAGTGTCATTTTCTTCTTTGGCGAGCTGTTGATGGCAAACGTGATGAGGCTGGCGTAGCTGTACGGTGGTTTGCCGTCCTTGTGCTGCTGCACCTCCTCCTGGTCCAGTGTGG